CTTAGCAACCGCATAGCAACACCTTAGCAACCACCCAGGGTACCCTAGCAACCGCATAGCATCACCTTAGCAACCACCCGAGTACCCTAGCGACCGCATAGCAACACCCTAGCAACCACCCCGAGTACCTTAACGACCACATAGCAACACCATAGCAACCACCCCGGGTACCCTAGCAACCGCATAGCAAACCGGGCTAATCATGCTAGCAACATGCTAGTCACTTTAATCATGCTAGCAACATGCTAGCAAGAAACTAGTAACTTGCTAATCATGCTAGAGACATGCTAGTCACTTGCTAATGATGCTAGCAACATGCTAGTAACTTGCTAATCATGCTACATGCTAGCAAGAAACTAGTAACTTGCTAATCATGCTAGAGACATGCTAGTCACTTGCTAATCAAGCTAGAAACATGCTAGCGACATGCTAGTCACTTGTTAATCATGCTAGCAACATGCTAGTAGCATGCTAATCATGCTAGAAAAATGCTAGCAACATGTTAGTAACTTGCTAATCATGCTAGCGTAATGCTAGTCACTTGCGAATCATGCTAAAACATGCTAGTCACTTGCTAATTATGCTAGCAAAATGCTAGTATCATGCTAATCATGCTAGCGACATGCTAGTAACTTTGCTAATCATGTTAACGACTTGTTAGTAACATGCTAGAAACATGTTAGTGACATTCTAGTGACTTGCTAATCATGCTAGCGACATGCTAGTCACTTGGTAATCATGGTAGAAACATGCTAGCGACATGCTAGTAAATGCTAATCATGCTAGCGACATGCCAGTCACTTGCTAATCATGCTAGTAACATGCTAATCATGCTAGAAACATGCAAGCGACATGTTAGTAACCTGCTAATTATGCTAGCGACATGCTAGTAGCATGTTAATCATGCTAGGAACATGCTAGTAACTTGCTAATCTTGCTAGCAACATGCTAGTAGCATGCTAATCATGTTAGAAACATGCTAGCAACATGCTAGCTACACGCTAGTAAATTGCTAATCCTGCCAGCAATATGATAGTAACAGGATAATCATGCTAAAAACATGCTAATCATGCTAGAAACATGTTATCAACATCTATCTAATCTATCTAAATTTTCAAACTTCTATCTATCTATCATCTGACTATTTCTATCTATCTATCTATCTAAAACTTCTTTAAACTTCAAACTATTTCAGACTGAAAACCATCAAACTTAAAAAATTTTAAACTTAAACTTTTCAGTCTTTTCAATCTTTTTCAAACTTTCTAGTCCGGCTTTCTCGAGCCAACTTAAAGTTTGTCTTGACGAACTTTTTTATCTAGTTACCATTAATATAAACCATTTTGTATTTTAGTAAGGCTAAAACAGATTTCCTCTGCTGTGAAACCCTGATCGTAAGCTTTGTCTTCTCCCATAGCGGGATTCCGAAGGCCGGTTGTGCTGTTTGGACCAATCGCTGATGCTGCCAGTGAAAAACTGGCCGCGGAGCTTCCGGACGAGTTTGTAATTGCCAGTGAGTTCATGCTACTGTCTCTGTGATACCATCAATAATGTCTGAAGGGATGCTCACACTGGATTTTAAGCAGGCAAAATCGTTTTAGACTCTGTAATTAATATTAGCAACATGATATGATGCTTTTGAACTTCTGTTTGGAATAATAATAAATTATATATTTTTTATATATATTAAAAATGTAATTTTATATAAATAAAAATAGATAAAAAAATATATTATTATATAAATAATGTAAGAATGTATTATTTGAAGTTTGCGTCCTGTTTAGGGTTGGGAATTGAGAACCGGTTCTTATTCAGAACCAACCAAATAACAGAAACACCGCCCTGCCTCTTTAATTACTGAGCACATTGGTTCCCAAGACGCGACGTCTTTAACTGCCTAACACATCGTTTTCCATGACTGTACGCGCACTCGCGTCTTTGATAACTGTGCACATTGTTTTGTCTGACTGTACATGTACCGGCAGCGCGCAGCTCCTGCCGCCACTAAATTACAATATATTTGTCCCATATTGTCATTAATATACAGTCGTGGCCAAAAGTTTTGGCAGTGACATAAATTTTGTGTGTTGCTAAGTTTGCTGCTTCAGTATTTGTAGATTATTTTTCCACGTGTCTATGGTATACTGAAAAAATAATAAGCATATCATAAGGTTTAAGGCTTTTATTGGCAAAAAAATACAATGAGTATTTACAGTATATTTACAGTGATGACCCTTGTTCTTCATAACCACTGCAATTTGCTCTGGCATGCTGGATATTAGCTTCTGGGCCAAATCCTGACTGATGGCGATCCATTCTTGCCTTATTAGTCCTCGGAGTTGATCACAATTCGTGGGCTTCTGCTTGTCCACTCGCCTTTTCAGGACTGACCACAGGTTCTCTATGGGATTGAGATC